GTGATGCCACTGAAAAGCTCAACAGCTCATCACTGTGTTTGCCAAAAGACATTATCAGATTTTTTTGATTTTTTTTGCTCTGTGGGCATTAAATAAATTGTTGTACAATGCTAATTAGTTGTTTTTTCCCTCTTCCAAATAATTGAGTTCTTCTACTTGCACTTAATTCCTTATGCTCTTCTTGGAGCCACCAAGAGACATGCAGCTCCAGAAGCTATAAGGATAACTATATTGTGGGACTTTGGCCAGTGAATTAAGAGAAGGCATGCTTTATTTTAATTTTCAATGTATCAGTGTTTTCTTTAGGGCATTAAATATATACCTTCGTATGTGATACTGTTTTGCATAACTGGGACAGAAGTTGGTCTACAGAAAATTCTCTCTCCTTAGATCACCTCCACATGGATCTACAATTGTTTCATGATTATCTGGTACCATTAAAAAGGCTTTCATGGCTCACAGCCTACCTCAAGTCAAATCCATGCAACCCCTTCTATTTTTTATTCTGGTTAAACTCATTGATGTTAATGACAGTTAACTTTGATTTATGTATATCTAGACATGTCTCTCGATCCTTGTTACCAAGAAAAAGGCAGTTAAGGACAAATGTCTCCTTTCTCATATTCACAAACCACAAAGCAGAACATTTCAGATATTAATGAAATAAAACAGCACTGCTTAATTACATGATGAACCTGCCAATTGTCAAGATGTATTGTCGCAATATATACATATGACTGATTAAATTATACTTACTATTTTGTCATGGAAAGGAAGGGTTTTAACATTAATATGTGTACTTTCTATGTTTCAGCACATTATTGTGGTACAGTATGTAGGCTAATAAGGAGTGTAATTATGCTGATTTTAGTGCAATGGTGAATTGTTATTTTGTTCTTTAGCAAATATAAAAGGCACAAAAAGATTTAAATGCAGTTTGGACCTGAACTACCTGATACTTACATTTATATTGGAGATATTTGGTAAAATGGTCAGAGATTAAAGCATTAGTGCTTTTAAAACACTTTGTAAAAATCAACTTAAAGGAATACTATAGGATCAGGAACACAAAGATGTATTCCTGACCCTATAGTGTTAAAAACATTATCTAGACCCCCTGGCTCGCTTTTGCCTCCCTAAATATAGTAAAATCTTAACTTTATTCCAGTCTGCTGATGCTCACTCTGCACCTGACCTGCATCCTTGGCTGACATAATCAGAAGTGATGATCTCAGCCAATCACAACCTTCCCCACCCTGACTAATCAGCATCTCCTCATAGAGATGCACTGAATCAATACATCACTACGAGGAAAGTTCAGTGTCTCCATGCAAAGGGTGAATACACTGAATAACTGCCCCAGGAAGCACCTCTAGTAGCAATCTGAGGAGTGGCAACTGGAGGTGTCCCTAGGCTGTAATGTAAACACTGCATTTTCTCTGATAAGACAGTGTTTACAGCAAAAAGCCTGCAAAGACAGACTATACTCACCTGAACAACTACATTCAGCTGTAGTTGTTCTGGTGACTATAGTGTCCCTTTAAATTTTTTGAACTAGAGATACTTGCAGGATTATTCAGACTGTAAATTGTTGGAAATTCACTAGAGAATTGCACATTTTAATGAAAAGAACTGAACTGGAAAACGTCCAGGTCAGTTATGTTTCAAGCTTGCCAAGCTTGTCAAGGCTAGCTTTTATCCTAACACTCAACCCAAGGTCAGAGCAGAGGGCAGAAGCCCATGCCGGTCCTTAGTGCAAAGCTAAGATATGAAGAATGTCTGGAAGCAGACAGAGAATCAACAATAACCAACCAAGGACACAGGTGTATAGAAAGGCCTGAGGTCAGGATTACAGAAATTAGTAGTTTAACAAGCCAAAGTCAAAACCAGATAAGACAATAAATACAAGTAAAGCCCTCTCAGGAACCATATTATGCAACCAGTGTAATCAAATATCCACTAATGAAGTACTATTGCCTGACATTTTGTATGCAATGCCAGAATGTGCAAGGCCAACAACGCCAGGTTGACACTGCTTTCATCAACGTCATAAACTGACATAAACTTTAGAGAGTATAATACACAGCCAATGTGGAGTAATCTGCAACAGAAGTGCCCCAGAACAACACCTTGTGTCAATATGCAGAGCAGAATGATGTCGGGATGGAGCAAGTACCTTGACAATGTTAATCTATTGTGCCCTGAAATGTTTCAGTTCCATGGAGAATTTCTAACAATGCACAGTTTAGTGAATAACCCTATGAGATACACTTGTCTTCCATGAAGCAAAGGTCTTGTTAAAGTATACATAGTCATAGCAGATGGTGTGATGGCTCAGCTACCACTTCTGAGTGTAAACATCTTTCCCAGAGGGCTTTCTAGCAGCTCATAAGCTCAGAAGATGGGAACTCTGTTTAATTTTTTTTGTCGAACCATATTGAAGTGGATTGGCAAAAAACAAGTCTCTCCTTGACACTTAAAGACCTCTCTCTCTTCAGCTGCACTAATACTTAAAGTGGCTCTGTCACTCCCCCTCCCCCACTTCCCTCCCCTCTGGAAAAAAAATTGGTGCATATCATCAAGATTTCTACAAGTGACAATACTTGACAAAAGGCAGAGCTAACTTTTGTCAAGCCTCCATTAAAGACGACTGATGGGAAAAGTACAGTGCTGATGTCGGCTTCTGGTAGATGAAGTGCCAGGAGCTGAAGAGGACTTTGAGGGAGAAGATGGTGGTGGCATCAAGGAACAGGTTCAGGCTAGTAAAAACTACCTTCCTCTGCACCCACAGGCCACAGCAATGCAAGCAGAGCAGTCATTTTAAGGCATCTTTGCAAAATATACAAAGACTCCAGTAGCTGACAGAGACACTTTAAAAGGAAAATTAGGGAAACGAAACCTAAATAGCCATGTCCTATAGGATTAGGAAAGTATCATATACCATCATTCTAATCATAAAATTGGAATGTTAAAATATAAGCGTTATTAAAAATAATGGACAGCTATCACCTCAAAACTGAAAAAGTATTTGAAAACCAAGAGTAGTCTATTTATGATCTTTCCTGCTTCTGTGCAGAGTTTGAAGCAGGAAGACCACTAAGACTAACTGTCAGTTTTAAAACACTCTCTGACCCAAGGTGCATTTATATGCCATATACTAAAAGTAGGGATGAGTTTTTCTCATTTTTTTAAACATAATTTACAAAAATATACCGGATTTCCTTTCATTTTTTTTGTAAAAAATTGTTTTGAGGTGACAGTTGTCTTTTAAAAATCTAAATATATTGGGGGCGAGGCTGAAGCCTCATAGCGGCTGGACGCACTTCACGAGAGCTCATCGCCCGATATGGTTATTCAATTGGACTCTCAGCACGCCAATCCAACATTAATTGAGGCTTATTGGTCTTTCGAACCAGTCAAGGTGTCCTGGACTGTTAATGCAGAGTGCTTACAGGCAAAATTCCTCCTGAAACAGAAGGCCTAGTAGCTGGGGAGTCGGCCGCTGCACCGATTCTGTGCTCACACAGTGAGTTGCCTTCAGCCTTGTTTACCCCACTTGGACCAGTGGGGGATATCCTGGCCCCTACTGTGTGCTCACCTGAAAACAGCCTGGTTACAGTGAAGAAATCTATAGGGCATAATACTAAGGGTTATCAAGTTAAGATGGCGTCTGTCACAGCATCCGAATTCTGGGCCCACCACGAGGAACACATTAAGCAGACCTCAGTTCTGGGCTAAAGTCACCAAATAGTGCAGAAGCACATAGCAATAGACCTACCTCTACAATGAGCTTTTAAATTGCTTTTGAACTGATCTGCAATGCTGCGGTGCTACAAGGAAAGTGGCATAGAAGGAGAATTTTGAAAGTACCTCAACCACCAAGTAGCCGCTCCAAGATCTGCCTTCACTCATCTGGGCATCAGTCCACATGGGCAAGTCTCCTCTGGCACAGCTTACACCCTTGGGTAATACCTACTCAGGGACAAAGCCAGCTACATGTGGGATCCCGAGACCCTGTCCGGATAGCCAGAACCGAACAAGTGCTGGACTGTGTTAGAGCCTGGGGCTGGTGGGCTGGTATGGGAGGGGATTATTAGTGCGGTGTAAGTGACAAAAGACTTATACCAGTAAGTGGAGCGCTCTAACACATATAGCTTACCAAATGGTCTCTCATTTAATAATTGAGTATAGTATAAGGTACATGTCGAGAAAAAAATATAAAAGATACAATATAGTGCAGACGGTTTTAAAATAATAATAAAATTATAATAAAATTATAGTGGTGGTGTCTTGATAAATGGAACACTCACATTTCAAGGAGCCTGTATGTAAGAACACTGGCTCCGTATTTTGGCTTGTGTGTTATTTTAGGGTCGATGTGGGATATTTCTCAAAGACAAAAATAGGAGAAGCAGACCAATGTGTAGATAGTGTTTGTAAAAACACAATATTTTAGAAATAAGTGGTGTGCTCACCTGGTCCTGAGCCTGTGGGTCCCGGCTCTAGGTATATAGGTATTGCGCCAATTTGAATGGGGATGGCACTACCCCTGGGAAGATACTCTTGAGGTTTCCAAAAGAAGGACTTAAAAGGATCTTAAATGAAAAGTAATAGATTTATTCAAATATAAAACAAATAAAAACAATAATTATAAAAAATTCCTTAATAAAAAGTCCTTTAAAAATAGCCAATACGCGTTTCACTCCTTGCTGTGGAGCTTCCTCAGTCAGCTGTGATGTTTGGTCCTCTGGATCTTCCATTTTGAATGTTTTTTGGGGTCCTCCCCTTTAATGGCTGCAGTCCATATTATCCAATCATGTTGGTGGTTACATGTCCTTCATATGGTATATTATGTGTGTATCTCTTTAATTGGATCTAATGATTGGCGCCTTTCTTATCTCCGAATTTCATTGGTGAACTGTGGTGGTTGGCGGAAGTTATCCACTTGCGTCCGGGCGGTTGGCGGAAATGTCGTCACGTGATCGCCATTCCGCCGCCGCCCGGAAGTTCACTAACCCCTCCGTCATGGCGCACGTTCTTCCTGCGTGCAGGTAGGGGGGAGGGAGCAGTGTATGTCCACTCCGGCATTCTCCGCCCTTAGGACGCAAGCGGATAGATAACTTCCGCCAACCACCACAGTCCACCAATGAAATTCGGAAATAAGAAAGGCGCCAATCATTAGATCCAATTAAAGAGATACACACATAATATACCATATGAAGGACAGATCAGTTCAGGGGTTCAAGAATTTCCTGGAAGTCACATTTTGACCGACAGACCGTTCAATGCCCAAAACAGTTCCAAAGAATTAGGCTGTGCGGTCGGTCTACTTCGGGGATTCGAAGTGCACACAAAATACTGAACGCCGTTCGACTCCTGCTCCAGCCGAACATCCACGGAAGGTAAATAGTTAGCAGTGTTCGTGCTGTCGAGTGTCCGATTTGAGTTTCACGACCAAACACCGCTCATTGTACTCGCGGTTTAAGATGGCCGCTGCCACGTGTTCAAAGTGCTGCTTTGAACAACTTCGACTGTTCAGGAGTTCGAAGTGCCACTTGAACCGCTTCAGGAGTTCAAAGTGTCACTGAATAAATAATGTCAGAAGTCCAAAAGGCCCAACCAGTGGTTTTAACCAAGTTGTATCACAGGGGCCATAGTCACAGGGTAGGAGGCTGGCAAACAGGCCCCTCCAAGAACCAGTGGCGAGGTTACTTTCGCCACACCCTGCACCACTATCTACGCACTTGAAGTTCTACGCTTTCCATTTTATATTTTCAGTTTTTATTCATGTTCTTCTCAGTGGCATTACTCTCTTGCTGGATTAACAAGGTTCTGTTTCTCTTTATCTCCTCACTGTTGGCATATTGGACCTCTTAGGTTGTATGGTTCTCACCGGTTATCAATGTATGTGAAATGCGTTTATACCTCCTGCTTCAGCCTGTATGCTTGTACTATTCTAAATTCTACTAAAATCTACTAATATTTTTAAAATGAGAGGTATCCATCATCCAGGTTTATATGTGACTTGCACTGTGTATTGCTATTGCTCAACATGCTATTATAACCTGGTACTGTTTTATTCTATGACTGTACATTACTGTCATCTCAATAAAACAAAGACTGACAAAAAAAAAAACCCCAAAGCAAAATAAAACAAATAAACACCAAAATATATTAAAATCTTCAGAGAGCCCAACATGTCCATCCAAACATCAAACGAAAAGTGATGCCCCACAACAGAATGAGAAGGAAAAATTAAATTCGCAACAAATCATAGACGAAAAAAGTAATCCGCTGAAAGGTACTGCATTTTCACTGCAGTGTTCCCTCAAGAATATTTATTTTGTAGACACATTGAACACTGGAGGAGATTTATTGATGTGTTGCAGACAGTTTTGTACTTGTTATTTTCTATTTCAATTTATTTAAACTTTTGTTTCTTTGCCTGCTGGTTCTTTTGTGTTCATTTTTGAATGTACCCCCACACTGTGCTCTGTTATTAAATGAACACTCCAAGCATTATAACCACTACAGAACCCTGGTGCCTCCCCATTATAAGTAGTTAAACAGTTTTAGAATGGGTTGACTTACTACTTGTCATTTGCAAAGGCAGCTGTAGACTTTGTGAGGCCATAGGCAGAACTTGAATATGAGTCCTACACTGACAACCATAATGAAACTAGCGATAATAAAACTAACTGGGTAGGGTCCTTGATGTCTAGTGATGAGGACTTCTTCCTGTTTGCCCTCTGCATGTAAAACAGCCTGAGGATGCCAGCATATTACTCCGCACCCACTTCCTCAACTCTTGGTTCATTCTGCAGGGCTGCCATTATAACACGTATAGTCCTTGAGCCCCCACCAAATGACACATATTTGCACACATACTTACAGACATAAATACACACGCACACAGGCACACACACACACACACAGAAATATATATATCTATATAGATATATTCCAGACACACTAAGTGGGATACACATACATACCAAGATGCAAACTGCCAGATAAATATACACTCATTAATTCTAAATGCCAGACACACTGACAAACATGCACACACATGCCTCACAGCCATGCACACACAACACACACCCACTACTACGTACACAATTCCCAGCAGACTTACACATACAAATATTAACAGACACAGACACTGACAGACACAAATACAAAACCACTGCCAGAAATACATACAGACACCAATATTGAAATTTAAGATGTTTTAGTCATCCTACTCTTTGCCTACCTTTTGCCATGAGGGTGGTTTCCCTGAAATAGAAACATAGAATGTGACGATAAGAACTGTTTGGCCCATCTAGTCTGCCCAGTTTTCTAAATACTTTCATTAGTCCCTGACCCTATCTTAAGTCTAGGATAGCCTTATGCCTAGTCCATGCATGATTAAACTCCCTCACTGTGTTAACCTCTACTACTTCAGCTGGAAAGCTATCCCATGCGTCCACTACACTTTCAGTGAAGTAATACTTCCTGAAATTATTTTTAAACCTTTTCCCCTCTAATTTAAGACTATGTCCTCTTGTTTTGGTAGTTTTTCTTCTTTTAAATATAGTCTCCTCCTTTACTGTGTTGATTCCTTTATGTTTTTAAATGTTTCTATCATATCCTCCCATCTCTTCTTTCCTCCAAGCTTTACATGTTAAGATCTTTTAACCTTTCCTGGTAAGTTTTATCCTGCAATCCATGAACCAGTTTATTAACCCTTCTCTGAACTCTTCCCAAAGTATCAATATCCTTCTGGAGATACGGTCTCCAGTACTGCGTACAATACTCCAAGTGAGGTCTCACCAGTGTTCTGTACAATGGCATGAGCACTTCCCTCTTTCTACTGCTAATACCTCTCCCTATACAACCAAGCATTCTGCTAGCATTTCTTGCTGCTCTATTACATTGTCTGCCTACCTTTATGTCATCAGAAATATTCACCCCTAAATCCCTTTCCTCAGATGTTGAGGATTCAGCACTGATTGTGGGCTGTACTCAAGGGGCTGTGATAGCAGTTTCTGTTTTCCCACATGTCCTCCTCTGAGCACTGGGGGTAATAGATCGGACATCACTTCCTCCCAGTACAGCCATGCATGTGAGAGAAGCTGTATATTGTCAGGGGTCCGTGCCATTACCGGATTTCACAATGCGGTCCGGTTCCCATCCATATAGCATTACAGGACCACTTGCAGACCCCAAAGCATGGCTTGTCCCCTTAACAGATTATATATGTATCTATATGTTGTCAGTGTTTATCTGTATGTTTGTATGTGTATCTGACTACACATAAATGCATGCTTGCACTGAAACACCAACACACCCCTACAGTCATACACAAGCACACACACACCATCTAAAAACATGCTTACATTAAAAAACACAAACCCTGTTCAGTGCGAAATACAAACTTGAAAGCATGGGAAAACGTTAGATCCCAAGCACTGTGGGAGATATATGACAAATGGGGATCTACGCTTGGCCACCCTTGCGATAGGGGCGGCAAAAAAAGCCCTCTGTATGTTCGTTCCGTCACTGCACCCCAGGTAACAAGTCAAACTGACAAGGAGAATCTTTTCTAGGTATTCATCTCCTGACGAGATCACTGCAGGTGACAAACATGTTGATAAGGACACCAGAAACAGCCGTGAGCGGTATCTGCTTTGCCATTTGATCAGCCAAAAGACTGGTAAATGGTGTGCTTTTAAAACAAAAAGCTGAATTGGCACTTCATTTTATTGGTGCTTTTTAATGTGTGAGTGGTACTTACTGTTTATGTAATAAAATAATGTTCAATTTTATTCTTTATTTCTCAACTCTGCATAGTGCTATTAACACCATAAAGACATGGTTAAATTGTTTTCTGCTTATAGGGTAACTCCAAGAACCATGTCCACTTCAATGATTTGAAACTATCATAATACCTAGAGTCAGTATGTGCAGCGTTTTGCATCTCTGCAAATACTGAGGTTAACCCCTTTACTACGAGAGGTGCCGACCGTTTCCTCCCTTGAGTCCGTCTAATGTTTATGAAATGCTGATTTTTGGTTGGAGTAATTCTTTAAACCCTTAAAGACCAAACTTCTGGAATAAAAGGGAATCATGACATGTCACACATGTCATGTATCCTTAAGGGGTTAAGCACGGCGGGCGTTCTATGCCGTCCTTAAGGAACCGGGTCTAAATGCCGGAGGGCTGCATAGAACGCCCAAACCGTCTTTTCTACTTACCTGGTCGCCGGCGATCGCAGTATGGGGGCTCACCTGGGAGCCCAGGGAGTCCCCCTCTGTCCTCTTTGGCCCCCCTGGGCCGTGTGACCGCGAGGTCCTTGCGAAGACCTCGCGATCACATGGACGGCATAGCCATCCAAGGCATTGCCAGCAGGGGGAGTGCCTGTAATGACAGGTACTCCCCCTGCTGTCTGAAAAAAAAATAATTAAAGTTTAAAACAGTGTAAAATAACATTATATATCCTTATATCATATATATATTTATATTTATTATATATATGATCTAAGTATATATATATACACATATATACACATATATACACATACACTGTCTATGTGTATGTATATTAATATATATATAATTATAAATATATATTAATATCAAAATACACGTACAATGATATTGATTAAATGTATATATAATTTTCATTATATATATATTTATATATAATATTAAATTAATAAATCTGTAAATATGTTAAAAAATTAAATAAAAAAATAAATAATAAATAAATAAATATATATGTGTAAATTCGTTCTAACTATTTTAAAATTAATATATATATATATTGATATCAAAATACATGTAGAACGAAATAATATATATATCTATATACATAAATATATATATATATATATATATATCACTATATATATACCTATATATAAATAAAAATAATTAAAAAAAATTATATACATATATATATATATATATATATATATATACATATATTTATATACACACATATATATAATAATTCTATGTATACATTTATGTAATAACTTTACATAATTAGGTAATTTTATTAATTACAATTAGCAGGACCAGCCTGACAACCCAAGCCAAAAGTCCAGGGAATTTAATTTGCTAGCACTATATTTAACCCTGTAACTTTCCAAGACACCCTAAAACCTGTACATGGGGGGTACAGTTTTACTCGGAGGACTTCGCTGAACACAAATATTAGTGTTTCAAAACAGTAACATGTATTACAACGACAATATTGTCAGTGAAAGTGAAATTTTTTGCACTGGCCAAAATTGACGTTTAAATTGTGTTTTTGCATTTT